AGTGCGCGCTTGCGCACACTGGCCCGTGCGGCTTTAGTCTTCCGAGCATGCTACCATCCAGCCAAAAAGCGTACGATTTGCAACGGGTTTTACAGCGTGTCACACACCCGGTTATTTTGTAAACTGGTTAGGATCTCAACTGCGGATTTGAGGGTTCACGGTGGGGGAACTGTGCGGCACTCAGTCATGAACCCCAGGCGTCACTCTCAATCACTGTCGGAGAGTTTTGGGTTCTTGCCTCATTAGCTGTTACACTAAACTATAAGCAAAAAAACGTGTAGGAATTATTCGGGCATAACCCCACATGTAATTATGGGTACTGAATGCACAAATGAGACAGTCCACGCACAATAATTGGATATATATATATCTATATATCTATATCTAGATATAGATATATATCTAGATATAGATATATAGATATATATATTCCACAAGCAAGACGTAATTCAGGAAGTATTTCCAGCTAGGTATTTAGGCAGTCTATATATAGCAGATACTGATAACATAGTAGGAATACGGAAGATCCCAGAATGTCCCATGCAATAAGCATAGACTGAAAACTATTTGCAGAGTACTTGCACTTTTAGATGGTATGATGTGCCAGGTCCAAGGACTCGCATCGAGGAGGTGAGTAGGGGGTAGTCCTTCGCTCAGCCATGGAGGTGGTCTGCCTGGTAGCAAGGTTCCTGGGGTAGTTGGGGCATGAGAACCCAGTAGTGGAACACCCTACAGCGTTCCCTGCAAGTTTAAATAGCCCGCGGCCGTGACGTCACACGGCGCACTTCCGCGTTCCAGCGTGGAACGCATAATACCTCCCCTAATGGGGGAGGAGGCCTTCGGCGATTTCCCCGGCCAATGCGTTCCAGCGTGGAACGCAGCCGGGCCGTGCCGTGGACCTGGGGCTCGTTATAGCGTGCTAGGAAGACGAAAGTCGTACGACCCTACAGTAGATGCGTTCGCACGCTGCCCATCGTGCGATAATCGGCAGGTGTATGGGCACCTTAAGTGTGCACATTTAGGAAAACACTAATTTTACAGTCTTGGCTAACGCACTCCTTCTGTGCCAGTAAGAAGTTTTAGTTTGATCAAACATTACACTGTGTGATGTGGGGGAGTGTGGCTCCTTAAGGCTCTGTTGACACATTAGAGGTTTTCTGCGCATATTTGTACACACGGAAACACGCTAAACATAAAAACTGAGAGGGTTATTCACAAAGTAACATTTCTATATGGCAAGACCCCCCTAAACCTTTAGGGCTCTAGATTCTGGTTATGGTTTAATGGATACATTTGCTATATTTAAGTGGTTGGATTATTTTCTATCTCATATGTCATAAACTATTACTCTTGCTCCTTATCAGTTAAAATCTGAATATGTGAAAATACCTTTATTTTATGTAGTTCTGGCACTTGAAAAACTTTGTTATGGAAACTAAAATAAATTACTTTCTTTACTGTATATATGACGTGATATAGCTTAAGAGTAATTTATCTTTGAATACTACAAAAGTTCTAGGTTAGCTGGTGAAGCTTTGATAAATATTTACTGCATGTTATGCTTCAGTTTCTTGTTCTTCTTACAGTAAATGCTGATATTTACATAGATTGTCAGGTTAAAAAAAACAGACCTACACCAAAGTTTAACATTGTATATATTTTTTCCTAATAATCATGAATAGTTATTTATATATTTTTTAAAACAATCTGCTAAGCTAGCTAGATCCATTTCTTGTGGAAGACTTTTATCAGACTTATTGTAAAGAATCTTTTTTATGTGCAAGGTTTAAACCTTTTTTCCTCCAATCTCAAAGAGTGCCCTAATTTTTATGGGTTAATTTAAACTGCGCAACTTTCCACTAAGATTATTCTATAGACCAGTTTATTTTGTAATGTCTATGTCCTGTTGAGGAGATCTCCCCTCGTTGACTGCCCTGGAAACCTCTACAGAAAGTGAGAGAAAATATCTACAAAATAAGGAGAATTCCTTTGAAAGACATTTTACTGATGGGTAACAACTGTAAAAGTTTGGATTTTTCACCATTTTCTGCCTCTGTGACAATGGTAATGGATTAACGTAAAATGAGACAGTTGTGTCCATAGGCATCGAGAAGGGATGTCTCTTTAATGGGACAGTAAAGGAAAACAGCCAAAAATGCACAATAGTACAGTACATCCACAAAAAGCAAATTACTCACTTAAAGTGTAGTGGGGGTGCATACCGCACTCACTGGAACGGGGGATGGATTGGGCGCATATTGCATGTGCAGTATGCAAACCCCGCATCGGTGAGTGTGGTAAGGCCTCCGAATGGTCATTCTGCACAAATGATCAGTCTGCCTATGACCAGAACAAATGCATGGCTAACCTCAGATCAGCACCAATGCAAGGCAGATGTCAGACCAGAACCAATGCATGCCAGTAAGAAATGCACAAAGTGCACAGGTCAGTAGTAAGAAACTCAGAGTGGCAAATATGCAGTAGTAAATAAGGCATAATTCAGTAGTTAATAATGCAGAGTTTAGTAGAAAATAACACAGTTCATTAGTAAAGAATGCAGAGCTCAGTAGTAAAGAAGACAGAGCGCAGTAACAAACAATGCCAAGCTCCTTAGTAAAGAATGCAGAGCTCAGTAGTAAATAATGCAGCGCTCAGTAGTAAAGAACACAGAGCTCAGTAGTAAACAACACAATGATCAGTAGCAAAGAATGCAGCACTTAGTAGTAAATAGCGCAGAGCTCAGTATTAATTAATGCAGTAGTAAAGAACGTAGAGCTCAGTAGTAAAGAGCGCACTGTTCAGTAGTAAAGAACGCAGAGCTCAGTAGTAAAGAACGTAGAGCGTGGTAGTATATACACCGCAGTAACACAGTATTGTTCCATTAAAATACTTCTGCACAACACAAGGCACCTGGATCATTATATAAAGGCACAATAAATACTGGCAATAACACTAAACTTTTTTTTACAAAAGCTGGGGGAGATGGAGAGATTCCCCTAGTCCACACACAGATATACACTTCTTCCTCTACAGCTGCTACAGCTCTCCTCACACTCCCCCCAGTCTCTGGGGAGTTCTGCAGCAGCTGTAGTCTCCGATATCCCCCTCCCTCACCCTGTGTCAGAGCTTTCCCATTTATGTACCTTGTCAGTTCCGAGCTGGACGGGTTCCACTCTAAGATAAGCACCACCACCTGGGAAGCCAGGTGGAGTGTACCTCTGAAGGACCTCACAGGGTATCCTTTTCCAGTATGCGGTTTTAAAGAATGGATCTGCAGTCATTGGCGCCGA